TCATTGTTTGTATACAAATGTACAGATTTATATATTTTTGAACATATAGTTTTATTTTTGTTGCCTTAACTTTTTTCGCTGACGTTTTATGAAAATATGTTTAAAACAAAAGTTGTAGCTGCTTTCATTAGCTTTAAAATGATGTATAATAGTACTTACTTAAATGAAAATCCTGCGAGATTCAGCCGATGTAATGGAGTATGCGTGCTCAATCTGTGAGCTAAGTTGGGCTGGCGCGGCATTGCAATACTATCATTGTTGTAATATGGAGAGTGTTTTTTTTTTTTTTTTTTACTAAAGGTATACTAATGCATTATCTCCATTCCCCACCGCAGCAAACCTGCGACTAAGCAAATTTTCATTTACCTGGCTGGATATTTACTCAAACATTCCCTTAAAATCGCCAGAATTATTTCCTGATCAGATTATTTTCATGAATACTTAGGTTTGCTGCTACAGCCAAGGTATTGAAGAGTGTTCTTTTATCGATATGTTGATAGCTTTTGATGAAATAAATAAATCTAATTAAAATATATATATAAACAAGCAGACTACAACAGTTTTTTATCGTCCAAAAGAATAAAATGGGAATTTTAAAACTTAATTTTTATGAATTATCTCCGTAATTGTTAGGCGTTTAACGTTGCACCAATGTACAAAATTATTTATTTTTTAAGCTCTACAAAATGGTTTTGAAAGAAATTGTAATAGTTTGAGGTTTTAGGGGGGGAATGGGAATAACCAACGTTTACCCCATGAAAACCCTTATAAAACCCTATTCCCATAGTCTGATCATGCTGGTTCACAAACTCGTTCGAATGAACGTAGATTGATATATTTGTACCAAATTTCATCCAATCGGATCATTTTTGTTTGAGTTATCACGCTAACTGACTCATGTATCTATATATATAAAGTGATAATATATATAGATATATGATTTTAAGTTTTACATTTTATTTATGAATTTTAACGGTGGAGGGTGTTATCGGCCTCTGAGGGCTTCAAAATGAAAAACTAAATCGGGCCCGGGTGAGACCTACGGTAATAGTTTATTCCCTATGAGGAATTTGCTAAAAGAACAACCGAAACCAAACCCATGTACAGTTAATAAAATGTATTTCTATCCTTTGTAATTTAAAAGCATGAAATCATTTTATATGTACGTAATAATTTTATAGGATGTTATTTTTGAACAAAATAATTGCATTATCATGATTTGAAGTTAAGAATTACTCATATATCGAATTCAAAATTTCCCCTTACAACTTCTTTCCCCCCCCCCATATCTTATATTTTCAACACTGGGGTAAGACGACTCATCATACACTAGGTTTTTAATTTCTTGTCTTATCAAAGCCGCAGCTGTAGAAACAATTATCTTATAATCTTATCACCATTATGCCTTTTATTTTAAGAGAACCAAGTTTCAGAGAAAATCTTGTCCACCCTATTTCTTAAACAAACTATGGAGGATTTATTTTTATGTTCGTAGTCTAATAAGAAGTCTTTCACCAAGTGATTAAGTAATAATGTTTTGAAGTACTTCGTTTTATAAACCTGGTCTCTGCCTGATATATATTTCATCAATTGCAAAAGGCTAGGAATAATATGCTGGTAATCATCATTTTCCTCAATGAAATCGCAAACTTTTATGAATTATTCTTTTAATAAATCGTTAACTGGTCTACCACGACCTACACACGTATTGGTGTGAATGTGTTGTTTCAAAAACCTAGCATAACAAGGTAAACAAATCCTGCAAGCCTAGACCTAACCTAATCAGCCCAATCATTTTTCCTATTTTCAATACATTTACTTATAGTTTGTTTGGTAGTTAAATTACAGTATGAACTCAATCGACTGCTTTCCTATTGTGTTTTTAGTGTCTTAAAATTTAAAAATCTAGAAAGTACAATAATGGGTAGAAACGTCTTGCATGAGTGCGGTAACAGATCAAATCAAATCAGTTTTTTTTCCACAATATATATAAAATTTACAATTTTTCAAAAAATAAAATACGAATATATAAAGTAGTCTTGAAGCATTATACAGTACAGTGTTTACGTAAAATAATTCAAGTAAAATTAAATTTATAAAGTTATAATAGTATAAACTTAAATCAGCTATGGATTAGCATTGGAGTTAGTAGTAGCTATAAGTATTGATCAGCTATGGAGCGCCATATAAAAATAGTGCACACAGTCCCTTCACGGTTAATATCTTATTACATAACCATAAAGTACATGTTTCAATACATCATTTTAAAGCTGATAGCAGCTACAATTTTGTTTGATAAATGCCTTCATAAAATGACGGTGTTAAAAGTTTTGCAAAAAAATAAAATTACGAGTAACTAAATATTTATCTTTACATTATTCTACGGATAACAAACAAACGGTAACAGTTACAACGAGATTTAACTGGACATGATTGCAGGAAATTTTATTACAAAGGGAATAAAACAATTGCAATTCGATGTATGTTACATTTTTTACTTCCAGATCTTTGTTTAAAGATAACATCCTTTAAAAATACTACATACCTAAAAAAATAATTACATGTTTTTTTAAATGAATAAAAAAATTAACTTTAAATGTTATTAACTTTACATGGGGATTTCAATTGTTTTTTTTCTAGGATAATACAATAGTGTATCTTAATAAAAAAAAATTCTATACATTACAACAATAATGTTAGTATTTCGCGCCAGCCCCCACCTAGACCAAACCCACTGATTGAGTACACATACTGCATTACACCGGCAGAATCTTGTAAAATTTTCATTAAAGTAAGTACTATTTTACATAATATTAAAGCTAATGAAAGCAGCTACAACTTTTGTCCAGAACATATTTTCATAAAACGTCAGCGAAAAAAGTTAAGGCAACAAAAATAAAATTATATGTTTAAAAATATATAAATCTTTACATTTGTATACAAATAATGAACAAAAGGTAACAGCTACGACGAAAGTTAACTGAACATGATTGTAGGAAATTTTATAACAAAGACAATAAAACTAATTGCAATTCAATATGTCGTTTAACAATCGAGAAAAACGTGATTTACGAAACCCTTACACTTTATATGTTTAGGGGGGCACAGGGGGGGAAGCAAGAGGGGTAGGGGCGGGGACTTTTGTCTAAACTCTTATCTAAATGGTAGTAGTCGATGGGCAAAAAATCAGCTTTTTACTAATTTCCCCTCCCTAAAAACACAGGTTGACTTGACTAACTATTCTCGCGGATCCGCGCCGCAAGCGCTCTTGCGCCCGACGCCGCCTCCCGTTTTCGGACTGATTCTGTCAACTGGCTGCAATTAAAATACGTAAAACCTATATCATTTTAAAGACTGAGAAATACGCCAACTTTTTATATGAAACATTTTTCTCTATCTCGTCTCATTTCAATAAAAATCAACTTAACACACGAAGGTTGAAATTTAAAAGTGAAGAAATTTACATTCAAACTTAAATTACAAGAAAACTACTGAATATATCGATTACACTTTTGTGACGTTTTTTGTAGAGAATATTTTAAGGATTGAAATGGCGAAACAAAATTTGTTCTATTGCTGTTTGTTTCTGAGATATTGATAAATTGATAAAATATTACACATATACACTTAAAAGGGTGTAGGGGGGAAAGCAAGAGGGGGAGGGGCGGGGACTTTTTAGAAAATGTTCCTTATATGATCTACTAACATCCATGAAAAAATCAGCCTTTCACTAATTACTTCCGACAAAGCACTATTTTGTCCCTTTATTGACTGGGCTATTAGCACCTCCAACACGACGCTGGAGTGACGGGTTCGATTCACGCATATGCAAAAATGTTTTATGGGTTTGGACCACTTCCCCTGAGATAGCGGTATTGATTTTCTCCGTATAAAACATGAAGTAAACATATCATTGTTAACAATAGCAATAGCCTACCTAGAGCACACGAAAACGCTCTCTCTTGTCCGTCCTCATGGGTTATGAATATGCAAATCACAGAGGAAACAAAGAATGGAACAGTATAACGGAAAATCCTCCTGAGATACGGCTCATTAACTATTGTATTTTTTTTTATTTCCGTTATCCTTGACAACAGGAACTGTAACTTAAGAAAGCATTTTTGTTTGTTTAATAATTGTATCCATCACTTCTTTTAATTTGTAATTGTAGCGTGAATCTTCAATATTTATTTTGCAGTTTGGTTGCTATAAGCTGTTTGAAAACAATAACTTTGATCGTTTTTGTGACCTTATCCTGCTTCAATAAGTTTTTCGCTGGCAGCCTTTATTTTAAATTATCTTGTCTTTCTCACGTCGATTCTTGTATGAGTACAGTAAGTTTCTACAGTGTATTTAAAATTGGAGTTTTCTGGTTTATTTAAGGTCTTGAAACCGTCTGTTAAGAGATTAATCAGCTGATCTATTGTTGCGATCTTGCATCAAATGTTTTCCTAAGCAATTTTACCTTACAGGTTATTTTGTTAACAGTTTTTAATGATTTATTCATTACATTAACCACAGTGACTGGGTTAAGCTTTTAAGAGGCAAGTCACCTCAATTTTATTCGATCTGTCTGATGTGTTGTTTAGTAGTAACTTTTCACAACTGGCAAACGGGTGCAAAGCGAGTCAAAATTATGTACTCCAATTCTTCTTAGGACATGCTTATCTATTTACAATAACTTATATCAAATTGTGTTGAAATTATATCTAAGCTATATTAATATAAAAATTATGAATGAAGAATACGGGATATTGAAATAGATACCTCATAGCTTAAACTGATGGCTAAATATTGAGAAAGTTATTTAGACCGTCTGTTCTTTTTTTACTGTAGATTAACTGTTGTAGATGTATACGTTATGTTAACTAAACACCTTCCTTCGACTTTCCTTGATCATCAACGCATACAGTGCCATTATACTTTGTCTATATTTTTAACGTATAATTAGTTAACCTTTCCTCAGAAACCTTTCTGAATGTTTTCTTGTTCGTTTTCAGGCTGCAGAGGACGCCACTATGACGACGACGGCCAAGAGGAAGATACGCAAGGCGTCGGATACGGACCGAGGACCGAAAGACCCGGCGGAGTATGGGTGAGTTTCAAAACTCACACGAGTTTCGTTGTTTATAAACGCTCACATGTTTAAACTCTACAGCTCTCCATAGTGATGCTGCCTTAGTGTACAACAATTAACGTTAAAAACAGAAAAGGAGTTTTTCATTGGCAACTTTGTACGTGGTAAACATCTACAGTGGAACTTTGATAACAAGAGTTGTTTTCAAATCCCCTTGACTTTATTTGACCCTAATCACATTTACTTGCAAACCTCAATAAGAAATCAACCATTGGTAATATTTATTTCAATAATCCCCACGAGAGTCTTGTTATCGAGTTACTACTGAAGTGACTGAAGGAGGTAGGAAGTAGGACAAACATAGAAATCCCTAGCTATTCATTTCTAGTTAATTCATCTGGTAAAATTACCTCTTAATGAGAAAATTTTGTGTACACATCTATTATTGTTCTTCACTAGCTACATCGATAGTGTGCGGAACCCTTCCTATCACTTTGTTCGGTGGACCTTAAGTTCACATGTAAGAAGATACGTATCACCATCCCCTTTTTAAATGCCTTAGCTATGTTCTGAGTATGTTCTCCATACTCAGTTCTGTAGTCTTTCTAGACATCCAAAATTGTTCCTCCATTGGGAATGGTGCAACCACCCAGCTACTAACCCAGACCTGTATGTAGACACCCAATACTTTTCCTTCATGGTCGTCGATGGTGTGGAATTTCCCAGTGACCTCCTTATGTTTCCTGCTGACCCAGAATCATACGTTTACGGTATCAGTGTTCCTATAATCACTCATGGAGCAACTGTCCAATCACCTCCTAGTTGACATATTACTGTGTATGACTAGACTCCCGTGATCCTTAAGTTCCTAACTATCTCCTAATATCTCCATTTGACCCTTAATCATACTTAGATGCCCATTACTGATTCTCCCTATTCGGTTATAATATGCAGCACCCAAGTCTCTTAATTTCCTTTTGACCCAGAAATGTACACAAATAACTCCTTATATTCATTCATAGTGCAACACCCATTACGGTTCCTTCCTAGACACCCAGAAATGTTACCTCTGACCCAGGAAGTTACGTTAACCAATTACAGTACTCGTCCTAGTCACTCCTAGTGCAACTACCTCCTAATGTCCCTAATGACCTTGATCCGTATGCAGAAACCTATTAATCCCTATACATTCAAGCTATCTCTTAATGTTTCCTTCTGACCCAGAAACATACATAGACACCAACAACTCTTCCTTCCTAGTCACCCCAGGGGTGAAACAGCCAAGCTACCTCCTCATCTTCCTAATGACCTTGACCCCCAAACTGTTCATTCCTAGACACCCAGCCACCTCTTCATATTTGCCTTTGACCCAGAAACTTACATAGATACCAAGAACTCTTCCTAGTCACTCATGGTGCACTACTAACTACCTCCTCGTCTTCCTAATGTCCTAGACGCATATGCCCTTTACTTTTTCTCCTAGACATCCAAGCTACCTCTTAATGTATCTCCTGACACAGAAACGTACATGGCCGCCAACAACTCTTCCTAGTCACTCATGGTGCAACGCCCCAACTACCTCCTAATCTTCTTACTGACCCAGACCCGTAGAGACCCATTACTGTTCCTTCCTAGACACCCAGCTACCTCCTAATGTCCCAGGTGACCCACAGACCTAGAGCTGCGCGTGGACGTCCAACCTGCTGCCACTGGCCTACATTCCCAGTTGCGCAACTCAATGAATTTATCTCCAGTAGTTACGTGAGTGTGGAAAGCGTCGTCAGGAATGCTGATGTTGCTCAACCCTACGAGTGCCATTTCCACCACTGCTTCAGCCCTCCTCCTCTTCTCCCCCTCTCTTCAATTCTCACTCTTCTCTCCACTTTATGTTTCCTTCGTCCTTTCCTGAAGTTGGCCCAGCGTGCTCACATGTTGGGCAATTTTAACAACCGATTGTACTTGGGACCGCCTTAATTACTGGGGTCGGTTTCATGAAGAAACCGAAGTGGCCTGGAACTTGTAATTTGCGTGGGAAAGTATATCTTGACCTTGCGTTTCAATTTCTTCGCCTGGTTTTCTGTTTGTGGAGTACCTTTTTCGTGGAAATGAAAAGCCATTCGGTAAAAAATAGAGATCGTTACTCCATTTACTTTGTTTTAATCGCTACAAATACACCTTTTGCCTGCATTCTTAAGAAGATTTTTAATCTAGTTTTCACACGAAAGTAAATTTGTGATCACTTTTAAAAATGCTAGCCCAAGGTCAATGTTAGACAGTAAATAAATTCTACTTTCTAACTAAAAATAATGTTCAAAGTATAACTTGGGTATACATTATGATTATTGGTTGATAAGACCAAAACTGAATACCAAGACTCACTAACAGGTTAGACCTGATGCCTTTAAATTTATAAAGTTATGCTTTAAAAAAACTACTGTGTCCAGTGAATACATGTCTCATTGCAGTTTCACTTCAATAGTGGTTTTATGGGCAAATTATCTCTTTCGTCCACTTTTCAGTGGTAATTCTTATGACTTTCCTGATAGAAAGATACACACAGTTTGCTAGGGCTAACGTTCTTACAGCAATGCAAAGGCTCGTAGCCTTTGGTTAAAGCACGTTTTATGATATGTCGTAGTTTTTCAGGAATCTCCTGCCAGTTAACTCCTTACCAATACTATCGGTCTGAAATTCCCAATCATTGACAGTGTTATCATTGGAACCATAATAAATCCGCAATTTTCTTCTTTGTCAACATACTACTCTATAGTTCCAAAGTTTTTTTTTAAATATGCCAGTAACAACAAGAAATGAGTAAATCGTTCTACCACCCACTCCGTGCAGTATCCGATTCTACCCTCTGACTAGATTGGAATGCAGAAGTACGGGTTTCTTTAGAAGGCCGTTGTACAACCAGTGTCCACTATATGGGTCAGCTGTTCACTCGTCGTGTCAAAGGTCCAAAACAGCTGATGTCCATTGCAACACTTGACCACTCCTGACGCTGACGTAACGTCCAGCCACCTGTCTGCGGCTAGGAGTCCATTACTCTATGGAGAGTGAAGATACATCTCGGCACATGAGGTAGTCTGGGCCTTCTCCGCCTGCAGGGAGGCGATCCAACCTACCAACCCACTCTGATTGGGGTGTTGATAGAGACGATTTGTTGAGTGGACGAAACCTGTTCTCCCAATTACGTTGATTGGTCCAGTTGAGTTACAAGTGCAATAAAACTTTCATCGGGATAATAAATCGTCACGAACACAAGTAAGGGATGTGTAAAGCATTCTTTGATATATGTTTGTATGAATAGTTGAAGGCGTGTTTTAGCAGATCAGCTTACATCAAGAGAAACTTTAGAAGATAACATTTTCCTCGGCAATTATGAGTTGAAATTAGTTTTCCTTACCGTTTTACTGTTTTTCTACACGATTGGTAACTTTTACGTTTTTGAGTGGGAGCTGTTCAAACCCTGGTCTTGTTGGTATCCATCGTCAAACTTGAGTTAAAAAGTATGATTAACTAATTTTTAGTCCATTGAATATGCCCGGAGTTGATTATGTACTGTTCTTGAGCTACTTCATATATACTTCATGGCCATACTTCAAATTTGAGCAATTCACCGATAGGAGTTACTAGTGCGAATTGTATAACAGTTTCTTCACGTTTATCACTCTAAGTCAATCTGACAACCTCAAGCATCGGAAACCTACACTTGAACTTAAACAAGAGTTGAAATTCACTTCGTACCCTCGATTATCTTTCCTTAAGAACCTGCCGTGAAGGAAACCCCACTGGCCATACAATTACACCCATCACCTACCTAATTTACGGCCGAAGCTTGTCGGGAAGGCCAAATCAGCGTTGATCATGACAGATTAGAAGGAGAAGGACAGTCATGACCTCCGCACGTGTTAATCACTGCAACCACTCTAGATTGCCGGGTTGGTGATGATTCATGAGTCATCAGTCATCTGACTAGCGACACTTCAGTCATCAGTCATGCAAGTCCACCACAGCTAGCCTTGGCGAGGTCTGACTGAAATGGTAATGCACCGAGTCTTGCCCTTGGCAATGTTTCAAGCTTGGCCTTGGTTGAGTTCAAAGAATCCTTCCCTAACTGATGATTTGTGAATTCACTTTGGAAAAATGCTAGCCATGCAATGAGAGTCATGTTCAAGACCAGTATGAAAGTTTATGTCAAAAAACCCTGGTGATAGTTTTAGAGTACCTAATTAATTTTATGATGTAGTTGTGTGTGTTTGCGTCATTTATGCGAGATGTGCCTTAGACAAGTTTGAGAAGAAAAAGTATATATCTAGATTTAAAGATATCTAGATTTGTTTTAAGAATTTTTTTTACCATACTTTGGAGTTTCTGGTAAAAAAAAAACGTTCAAAATATGTCCTTGATAGTCCATGTGACATTTCCATTTTATGGCACTGATAGGACGTTGCATATAAAACATGTTTCGGTTCGGTGAAAGATGGTTGGGTTGTATTACGTCAAATCAACTTTGAAACTATTGTTTTACGTATCATGAAACGGGAAAGGGGTGTGCGATCTACATTTAACATAGCAAAAACCCTTAATTACCGGTAGTGCTAAAAGCTGCGTTAGATACAAACCCCTGTCCCTTCTACACTAACCTTTTAGTTCCACTAGAATGATTTTACAATTTTAAAATTATCTCCGTACAAGTTTTGCGTGGGAATTTGTATACAATGCAATTCTCTTCCTTGCTTGCACAGACTTCACTCGCACTGTGAGATACTGGTGTGAAATATACTAGTGTTTTATAACCAGTATTAAATACTATAGTAAAACTATATCGCATCAAGAGCCAAAAAAGAAGTTTAGAAGAAGTTAGATATTGCAGACTCAAACACGTGTTATAAGTTCAAAATGTGGTTGGTAAAATCATATACTTCTCACTCGTCCCATTGACAAATTTGAAGCTCGTTTTTCGTGTCTGGTTCATGTTGTTCACCGGTCGCTAGTGCAGACGAAATTTCGTTTTTATTATTTTAGGGTTTATTTTATGATTGTTTAGTAGGGAACTAGTAATTGTTGGTTATATCTTTTATTTTGTTAAACGAGATTTCAAATAACTGAAATAACAAGAAACAAATTGTAAACAGAAACATGATTAAAGTGGCACCGGATGGAACTAACAATAAAACATACCTGATCCTTAATGGTGGCAAATCTACTAAAGATTTAAGATTGTATTGTTTCCCAACAACATCCGCAATAAAATAAATAATATTATCAACTAATTTGTAATCTTCTGTAATCCTTCTGAATGTAGTTGATGCCATTCAAAAAGCTCCGTATGCGTAGACTTGCGCGGCTGGTATTAGAATGTCATGTATTTTTCTTTCGTCAACCGTGTTGTCAGACAAAATTCACTGCCAGAAAAATACCTACATTCGTATGGTCACCATTTCGAAGTCAAATATTCAAGCTTCGATCTTACTGTGAATATTAGGGGGGTATTCGATATTCCACTTAAGAACGAAATGGCTGACAGCAATTCACCTGTCAACGCGATGAACGTCGTAAAAATCTACGAATTATACACGTTTGTTTCAAACTTCTCTGTGGTTTCAGAAATATTACGAACCATCGACTCCAACCATATTAGGAGGCAGCGGTTCTAATGAGAAAATTGCTCTAAGTGGTACATGAATCCTGCTAGGGTACTTGCATATTAAAACTGGGGAATATGTTGCTCACTTACTTCTATCATCATTAAAAATTACAATCATTATTAAGAACTACCATAATCGATAATAGCCGCGTACTGTAGAGCCCGGCTACTTTTATATGCACTCAGAAAGTCAAGATGGGTGTAATTATAATTCCTACCCTGATTGTTTACATTAATAGCTTAAAGATATAAGCGGCATGCGCAGTCTCTCTTTTAGACATCTCCCTCCAGATTAGACAATCTGTTTGTTTAGACACATGTAGCCGACATCCACAGGTGATATTGTGTTATGACTGTTGTGTTATCTTATAGCCTATATTAAAACGTGACAAAGGTTTTTTTTCTTTTCATGATTCTGAATCAACCACTTGATGGATTTTTTATGATGTTGGCGTTAAAAAAAGATAATTTTGAAAGGAAAGGAATGTTGAAGGCATAATTTTACTTTAGTGTTTCAGTTTTTTTTATAAATAGAGTTTTAATTTTTCAAAAGTCCAGTAGTTAACGATACCAATTTAAAGTAGTTTCAGTGCTGGTTTAACTAACAGCTAATTTGAAACTGTCATTGGAATCTTTATATTATAAGTGATACGCATGAATGAGACTGATACCATTTACTTTTATCGTGTTAAGTAAAAGTTTGAACCGTAAATTGCCTATGATTTTCAGTATGAATTTATTAATTTCTAATGTGGGTATTATTACTTCACAGGATCGCCTGGGCCAAGACGCTGTACACGGCGTCGCTGCTGCTAGCAGAGCTGCTACTGCTGGCCTTCAGACTGCTGATCTGCTCACTAGAGTCGCTGTACAACCTGCTGCTACCCCCAGTGGAGAAGTCACTGGCCAATGAGATCGTACTGGTTAGTGATATCATTGTGCCAGCCAAATATCAGCTGATTTGAACTGTTGATTGTAAATACTAAATTTGGGGTGTTATAGGCCTAATGAACCCTCGTATCGTCTCTGTTTTGCTATGCCTAGGGGATGGGGAAACGCAGTGGAGGCTCTAAAACCTTGTAGTGGAGGTCCTCTACACCATTTGGGTGGTTCAAGGGACTTCCATCGGAAAATTTGTTAGTTTTAAAGGTGTTTAGTGACTTTTTAAAGCAATTTTCAAGGCTTAGAATTGTGTCCAAAAACCTCTGTTATGACCAAATGTATGTTTAAATTTATATAGGTATCCAAGATCCAAGGGGGGGGCTTTAGCCCCTATAAATAGCCCCCCCCCCTTGAAATCACCACTGGGGAGACGTAAAAGTGTTAGAATGAGACATAAAGAATCTTTACTGTAGTAGCTAAGGATTATGTCACATGTGTAGTTTAATAATTTAAATATAGAAAGTGAGAATGGAAAAACGGAAGTTATAAACAAAACGTTACCATGTAAAACCGAATGGAATATTAATGTTTAGCTTCTCAATATTTTAGCGGCAGGATTTACATAATTAGTTCATAATTCTACACAAATATGAATTTAAAATTCATTAACTTATACTCTAACCTCTAAAATATTTTGTGTGCATTTCACCAATTCTATTCAATCGACCCCTAACGTTTAACGAATGTTTTAGTTCTTAATTCGACTAGAATACTGTTTGTAATATCAATAATCTTAGGTATTTACTTATTGAAAATATAGCCATATTTTGAAAACCAGTTATAAAGTAGAACTAATTTGCTTAATGTATAGACAAATAAAATGTCCATCGAAATAAAAGTAGATCAAATAAATATTTAAAGGTAATTTGGTCATATTTACCATTTTTTTTCATAAGCTAGGAATGAAATTAAAATATTACAACAGAATACTCTTTTGGTCAACGTAAATATGATCTGTTTTAATCCTTGATCCTTGCTTACAAAAAGACTACATCCATAAAATGGGATATCTACTTCACTTTCACTATTTTCCTAATCAATGTTGTAGATTGATGTGACAGGTATAAAAATCTATTTCAACTATTCCTGAGCGTGTTGACTGTTTGCAGGTGACAGGTACCGGACACGGTATCGGGCGAGAGTTGTGTTTCCAGTTCGCACCTCATGGCTGCACTGTCGTCTGCTGCGACATTGACGAGAAGGGTAATGAAGAAACTGTCAGACTGCTGGCCAAACTAGGCTACACCAAGAACATACATGCGTACACGTGAGTCAGTAGATTCATTAAGATTGGTCAGTCAGACGTCAATGGTGGTCTTCTGACACACAACGAACGTAACCAAGTTAATCCTGATTTTCTATTATCAAAGTAGCTAATATTTATAGAAATCTTTTGATGCAGTCTGGACACACTTTGGTAGGCTATGGCTTCATACAGTATAGAAAGAATCCAACCAGTATTGCCATAGGGACCACAGGAAATTCAGCCACCCTGAATCATCTATGAGATAGAATACCACTTCTTCATGCAAAAAAATGGTGATGATTTACTTGGTCGTCTTTCCTACTCGACTGCTTATTTGCTTTAGGTGTTGCATTTGTGAGACATTAGCTAAACAATATGTTTGAAGGTGTACAGTGGCGAAGCAAGGTCTTTTGTCACCTGGGCGGATGTTATTAGGCATTCCTCGGTGGGGACGCTGCTGAAACTGTTCATCGGTCTGGAACAAGCTGCCCATCCCGGTTAGCAGGAAAATTTGGGTGCCTGAAAACGTCCTCAACGTCAGTAACATATTTAATGCCATACAGTTTCTAGAAGAGAAGAGCAAGCCTGATATTTCCACTATCTGATAATCTCCAGCGATCAAGAGACTTTATCATCCTTAGACAGTGTTAGTCAAGCACTTTACCATTACAATTTAATCCCCTTACAAGCCTGTAGCACTTGTAGTGATATTTTCAGTAAAATCTCTAGCTCTTACAGCAGGATGTCCTGTCAAGATTCTAGCCCTTTTCTTTGTCAAGTTCCAGCACTTTCTGATTGTGATTCTCCTGTTGTATCCGCAGATGTGATGTCTCCAACAGAGCTGCGGTCTTGGCCATGGCGGAGAAGGTACGACAGGAGGTTGGTGATGTCACAGTGTTGGTTAACAACGCTGGTATCATGCCGTGTCACCCTCTGTCTGGACACAAGCCTCAGGAGATTGAGAAGATCTTTGATGTCAACGTCCTCGCTCACTTCTGGGTATTCTTTTAGAATCGTCTGAAATTTATTTGTCTTTTTCTTCCTTGGAAAAGATTTCCTTAGGAAAGAGCAAGGAATAGGAAAAAATAAAAATTGTTTTAAGCAAGCTTTTTGTAATGCCTGGGATACTAGATTAGACTTTTGGTTATCAGACAGAAGAAAATATCTTAAATTTAACCCATTTTGCAGTTGAAACTAAATATTCAACTTCTTCTTGAATTAGCATATTGGTCTTATTGTTTACAACATATACAAAGCAGACACCTTTGGCATGGCTCTTTATAAGTTTTCATTAACATTCGTTTATCCATGTAAAAGGTCTGCAATGTATCTTGTCTCTCCAAAATAATTCAGTTGTCAAAACATTTTCCAATTTAAAACAGTATCAACATTTTAATTAGTAATCAATATAATTATACAATCCTTTAATTATCCATTCTGAGAACACGTATTGCTGATCAATATACGTTTTTGCTTATGATGTTCTTGTTACAGACCCTAGAAGCGTTCTTGCCCTCGATGGTTGCCAAGAACCACGGCCACGTTGTCGCCCTCTCCTCCATGTGCGGAGTCATGGGAATCCCCAACGTGGTGCCTTACTGTGCCTCCAAGTTCGCCGTCAGAGGTAGGCTGCTTCTTCAGAGAATTCAATTTTATGATTGAAATGCATGTGCTTCTCAACTTGAGAGAAGGTTGAACAGCAACTTTTGAGCAAAAGATAAAGGAAATATTTACCTCAATGTGAGCTTGTGTAATATAAAGTCTTAATCAAGCTAGACTTTTTTTCATTTTATCCTGGTACGACAAGACTAATCATTTTATGGGGGCGGGATGGGCTGGAATCGTAATGGATGAAGTAGTGAACACAGCCCCGATAACAGATTAGAACTAACCAGCTTCGACGTGACATGAGCTCGTTGGATATTGATTCACACATCACCCTCGTATTGCGGTAAATATTTCCTTAATTTATCTTGTGTAAAAGAAACTTCTTTCAAGTTGAACCACAAATTAGCATTTTCCTATAAATTAGTACTTGAAGCTTCATTTGCTGGTTACCTACATATTTCAAATCAATCCCATGATCGGCTGATAGATCAATACAGTAGTCCATACGTATATGTTTATTCTATATGGGGAAGCTGGAAAAAAACTCCTTGTCAACTTTTAAAATCTTGTATGGTTTTTAATTTGATGAGTTTTTTTTTCTTAATACGCTAGGCAGCAGCCAGGGATTTTTTTCACATTACTTCAGGCTAGACTTAGGGGCTGCAGCATTATCACTTAGATAAAAGCCATTGGTGATTTAACTGGATTTGAACCTGAGACTTCACAGACCGCAGTCACATGCTCTACCACTAGACCAGCTTGCTTCCCAATTTGATACATTAAAAATGTACACTGTAACAAACACAATGGTTGTCTCTGTAGGTCTGATGGAGGCTCTCTACGAGGAGATGAGGGCGTCAGACAACACTACGAGGAAGTCTCAGATCAAGTTCACCACCGTTTACCCCATCATGGTGGGCACAGGGTTGGTGAAGAGGCCGAGGAACAGGTAACCATCAGTCCAATTAGCCAATTAACCAACAGCTGATCAGTCCAATTACATTTCTTTATAGTAACTTACCAAGGCATATTACAAACATGTGATCCAGTTGAGCAAAAATGAAAATAAATCTCACTGGAGGACTTACTGAATTCTTGACTCCTTCAATTGGTCCTAGAACATACCAAATTATTTGTAGTATCCTGTAATCATAAAAGTACAGTTTCATTTATTGGACATTGTTGGCGCTTACACGTAGATTAATTGAATAGTGCAGTAGTTTTATTGTAACAAAAGTGTGAAAGCTGTAAATTTTGCAATAGGATAAAAATTTACTTTGTTGTTGTAGCCTGTACGTTCTTGAGTAGGTAAAATGTTAGTGTCACCCATCGATGTATATGTTAGGTTATATACATCGATGGAGTCACCCTATGCGTTTCACCACCTTATTATGTGGCATCTTAACGGGTCTTCTTAAGTTATATTCTTATCACGAACATACACAGGTTTAGTGATAAGAATACAACTAACACTGTATGTGTTAGTGGTAAGAAGATCCCTGAATATGCCACACAAGCTGGCAACATGCATAGGGTGACATAAACAAACATTGACTCAAGAACTACTCAAGAACTTCAGTCAACAACGACAAAGGTGAATCTAATAAAATTCAAGTTCTTAAACCTGGGATGGGAAATAAAATACATAAAAAAGATTAGTTATTGTAATAAGCAAACTAAAACTTTTTTTAGGCAGAATGATATATATATATTTTTCCCACAAAGACAGTGTGTCAGTATCAGTATGTAGGTTGTTGAGACAATCTGTTTAAGAATTGGAAAAGGTTTATGAAAAACAAATTTAAAAAATACCTAATATGAACAACTTTTTGGTAATCATTAAATTTTTGGCTTTTAGGCAATGCAGGGAAAGTCCATCGTGAAATGTAAACCAAGTATAACCGCTATCATTTATTAGTTTTTTTTTTTTTAGAATGTAGTTTGTAATGGTTCCAAAGGGCAATTTCAAAAATATTTATGTGATAACAGTTGTAATGACAAAGGAAAGTGTATACCTCTTAAATCATTATAGATACTGGTGTAGTGGTGATCAAATCCGGCATCTACAATATGTTATTAAGAATCAATGCTTTAGTTATATCTTTTCATAAAACTGTGTTGTTATTTCCTAGACGATTATAAGCAGGACAGGTTTGGGTGATTCTAAAATATAAAAATATCACACCTAAACATATAAGGTCAAATTTACGTCCTAATTGTTATTCAAACTCAAACACAATTCATGTCCTCTGGTGAAAGGCATTACAAAACACAACTAGTTTCTTTAACATATTTTCATATTCAATGACCTTTATGTTTTCTAACTGAAGCCTGTTATGTTAATTGCCTTATCGAAACATCTGGTACCAATGGACCAGAAGAATTGAATCACAAATCAGCTATTCACAGGTGACAAAGAGTACGTTTAAATTTGAAAAGATTTGGATTCATGGCCAAACCAACAAATTTGAAAGAATGGAAAAACATACCTTCTCTACAGAGGTTTATATTCTTATAACAGGAACAGGGAATAAACGTTTTTATTCTGACTGAAATAACTGACTATGGTAATTTGAATTTCTATCTGTACAAACCTTTCCTCAGCTTCAGTCATTGCAAAATCTTGCATAACCAAAGACAGAATTCTGCATAGGTGTCTGGTGTATGTAAACTAAACACTAAGCACTCAAAATATAACGGGGATATAGATTACAAATATGAAGAATAAATTATTGTTTCAGAAACTAAGCACTTAAAAAAAAACTATATTTGCCCACCAATTTGTTGGAAACATAAATAAATAAATAATCATAATTGAACCATGACAAACAAGAGATTGTCAATTTGATCTGGTGGCCTATTCAAACAAACAACGTTAACACTCTTGCTATGTTATATAGATCTTAACTTATTCTACTACTTTTATTTATATAATCATCAAGCCTTTCATTTGCAAATATATTTAAATCAATTGAATGTCATGTTGCTTTTAAACTATCGTTGTTAAAAGGATTACTAAGGAAGAAAAGAACACACACAAAACTAATTCATGTGTACCAGTTTTGCAACAGCTAATCTTCTACATTCTTCTGATAATGTTTTGGAAGGATGCAATATTGACTTTTTAATATGTTGCGAACTTTCTGTGTGCCATAAAACGCCTGGAACTGTTGACTGAAATAAATTATTATTCATTAGTTGTATATCTGTCTATTTCTTTGATGTATTCCTAAGCCTAGTTTACAACTAACTGTATGATCTCAGGTTCCCAGCTCTTCTGGCACTTCTACCTCCAGACAGAGTCGCCTCTATGATAGTCAAAGCCATGAGAAGAAACTACAAGGAACTGAGCCTTCCTCCTCCGATGCTCTTTGTCGACCGAGTCTCGAGGTAGAATAAAATACTGTCTGTACATTCTCTATATATAGCAGATTAATCTCAAGTTTATAAGTATTCTTACTTTGCACATTTATACGTTTTACGTCGTGTGTTAATTAAAATTGTTAAATAGATCTTAAAACTAGTAGGAAGAAAATAGGTCAAGATTTTTTGTCAACTGTGCCTCCAGCTACACTAGAATAATTGTCTGTAAATTCTGTACGAGATATAGTAGAATGAAATAATTGATTTGATCCTTCAATAGTCAATATCCAAAAATTTAAATGGTAACATCATGCCTCATATGAACGGTCTTCCGTTTACATCAAGCATTCTTAATTTACACAAATAGATTTTCTATGAACTCAGAACGTTCATTTGACTTTAAGTCAGTGGGAAAAGACAATGTCAACTGTCAAGGCTGAATCAGAGTGCAAATTCATGTTTTATCATTTAATACGTGCCTAGCACATGAGGAAAATGTAGTTTGTTCTAGAATAATGATTATGGAAGAGGAGTAAGCGGGAAATACGAGGAAATATGTGATGGGATGGGACAATTTGGCAAGGAACATGTATTTATATATACCAGTAATACAAGAGTGTACAATATAAATTATAAAATGTTTTTATGTTCTAAATTGTTACTCGCTTAGAGATTACTCATCCTATAGATGTACAAGTTTTTTTGTAAGATTTTATGTCAGAAAAGCCAAAGCATCCTGATATCAACTGTCCATTTTGTCTGTTTCAAAAGCTTGTGAACTATTTTATCCAAGAATAATCCACTGTACTATATTACATGCAAATCCTTACTCTTACCTTTGTCTAGAGAATCACTTTCATAAGTAAACAATTCACTCCCTTTGTTATATTGTTTTGTCAATGATAGAATAGAATCAAAAACTTGATGCAATGAAACCCCCGGCAAAGTGTTCTTCTGTAAAATATTGTTTTCTTTAATATGCATTGAACATTGACATATAGGATTTTTCATGTCTTCTAATGATCGTAGTGCAACAGAATTTAGCTTCTAACCACAATCTAATGTTAGAATTCAACTAACCAAAAGTTTAAATTGGTTTCAGCATTTTAAATTGAAAGTTTAATTTCGCAGTACCTACTGTGTAGAGAATGGTTGTCCCATTGACCTTTGGATACTGTAGTAGACATCCCATTCATATGGACCAGTTTGCCTTGATTTTTTTATTCTAAAGTACATCCTACTGTAATTCTACAAGCCAGTACCGGATTGTGCTATTGTTTCAATTCTATTTCCTACTTTATGTTTCGTTACTGAGATAGTTGACGTGACATAAAAGATGCTATATCTTGCATTAAGTCGTACTAACAACTTTAACTTGGCAATGGAATGCTAGTTCAATCAATAGTCAAAGGTTATGCTTATTTTTTAAGTGCAACATTCAAATGTTCAAAAATTGAATCGCTTGTTTGGTGGCAGATTACTACCCAGCAAATTTATCCAACATTGCAAGGACTTTTTGGACACTGGAGTTGATCCTGTAGATTGAAAAGTCTCCACAAGTACAACAATGTCTGTCAATGCAATTCTACCACCAGTAAACAGTGCTACCAACATTAGCACTGAACTACCAAAGACAAAGTGCTCCAACAATGCTTCAGTGCTACCAATACATCAACAATTACAGTACTACCATGTAATGTTATGTATTGTTGAACTGTGTACCTGTGAAGAATCAAAATGTTAAACATCTTGAGTCGAACAAGAGGTTTTCAAGTATCACCCAAGTGGTTTCAAACACATTAAAAAAGAAACTCCAGTTTTAAAGGTGATTAACAATGATCAACCAAATCAGTCTTAAACTATATATTTTTTGTTAAGTGGCAAACATTTTAAATCCAGTTCCAGAAGTATAAAAACTAAGAATAAAGTTTTTTTCTAAATTTAGTTGAATAACATTTGTTTTTTTTTTCAAAACCCTGAAATGTAAATTCCACGTTCCATGACAAAATTAAAATGTTTGTGATCTAGAATGTAGTTAAGTTTTTAACCAGTTAAATTACTTATTTTAACTAGAGAATAGCATATTTTTAAATGTCTTGAGAGGAAATTTATGATGTAGCCTATTGTATCTCCAGACCAAAGGATGATATTGATTGTTGCCAGTAAAAGTTTCCTTAGAACAATACAGTTTTCTAATTACAATTACAAATCGTATGTATTGTTATTTACATTGTATAATAATAGGTCTAAGTTATTTTATAAAATAAAACAAAAATAAGTATGTATGGTGTGTTGTTTTATTTACAGAGTAAACTAATGTTGGTTATACTAATGTCAGTGTGTCTGTTTAGCTTATTAATGTATACACAGGTTTAAGTTGTGGTGTCTTATTTTTTTATTTATTTTTTTTTATCCGGTACTGTTAGTAGGCCTATATCTACTACAGTTTTGGCAAACCTATGATAGCCTACTTTTCTTATATATTTTCTGCATTAAGTTAACTTTGTTGCCGTACTGAAATCTATCAATGATGAATTTTTAACTAATTTATAGAGATAAAAACTTCAGTTTTATATTAATAAAACAGCCGTTGAAATGTATATTGGCACTTTAAAATAGTTTCTTGTTGCGTCATTCAACCTCTAATGAATGGATTTAGTAGAGATAGGTATACTAATTTCAACGGTATTACAAATATTGATAAGTTGACAAAGAACAAAATTTTTACATAGAGGCTTCAAACCCCACAATGGCCAGTGTTGTGAGTGATTAGAGCGAGGGAAGAATACAAAATCTTTCCATAACCCTCTGCCATAACTATTTTACCGTACAATCCAGTAAAACTGTATCCACAATTTGCACAAATAATTTGACATTCGGTTTCACCAACATTAGCAACTCTGCAAGGTGCACACAGTTGAGTGCAACAGTTGCACCATTGCAATTGCATACAAGGTGCACCCCACACACCGGCCTACCCCTGACCTATACCACAGAAAACATACTACTATAACCATGTATAGTAGGTTATAGTAGTATGTTTTCTGTGCCTATACTATGATATACGATAGGTTAGGTTAGGTTACTAATACTCTAAAAATTTTGGTTTTTTTCTAACTTTTTAAATTGAAGAAACTTTCCACGGCTCTATTATTTTAGAAATTTGTACAGTGATTTGAAACAATATTTTATAAATTTCAGAGATTGAATTTGCGTTCTTAAAATATTTGTTACAAGTAAAAAATAAAACTTTAAATGCATTTATTTACCTGATGTTTATGCTATGTGCATCAATGAATTTTATTTTTCAAACAAACTTACTTCTTCTTCTCCTTGCTGATAATAATAATTATGATGAGACCCATGAGCAAATTGCACTATTTAACAGGGTTCAAAGCTTCCAAGGTCAAAATAATAATTCAATACCCTTTTAATATCTCAAAGATCTAGTTATACACTATAAAAACTGAAAAATTTAAAACCTACCTAAATAAGGTTACAATTATACAAAAATAGCCTTTTTAAAATTCACTTTCACAAACTGTCTCTTGTTTACATTCTGACTGTGGCATTCATTGTAAACATTCAACTGAAGGATCAGCTGATAAATTACAATTCACATTTAAACCGTTATAAATAATTTTATTAATCCTCAGCAACACAATTTTTTTAATATGAACTCTAGGTATAATTGAATCTGTAGAATTTCGGTAGCACGTGTAGTGGACTGTATTTATAAGATAAGCGGAGTTTGATTCTTCAAATTAGAACACTGAGATACAATTAACAAATAGTTTTAATATTAACAAATAAACTTTCAATGATTTTACAGAACTTTAAAGAGAGATTGCAAAAGAGAGAGGGATCTTCATCTTGATGTGTTTGTTTTCAACTAACAAAATTACTAATAAATTATTTCATTGTTAAATCACATATATTGTTTTAAACATTAAAACAAATTAAAAACCAATGCCATCTGTATTTATTTTTAGTTGATAGAAAGCATTATTATAACAAAGTTAATTATACTGAATATTACTGAACATACCCCCGCCCGTGAACCACTTAGTGGGGTTCACCTAATAATCAAGTATTGAGAAGAAAAAAATGTATTTAGAAATGAACATATTATTTACAATAAACTCTTGGTTAACAGTCTTAACTTCTTTTATTACTCATTGATTGGGAGAGGTGAGACTTTAGTTATAGCATAGACTAACCAACACAAGTAGACTTCTCATCCCATTGTAAATTTTGAAGCACGTTTTTCGTGTCTAGTTCATGTACGTGACACAAAGGCGCTAGTGTCGACAAAACTTTGTTTCTATTATTTTAGGGCTAATTTCTTGATTTGTGCTTTACTGTTTGGTTATATAACTAAGGGACAAGTTATTGTTTATGATTAGACCGTATTATTTGGTTAAACGAGGTTTTAAATGGCTGTAATAACGGGAAACAAATTGTAAACAAAACACGACCTCTACAGAAAACCGTACAGAACTAACAATAAAATTGGCTTCAGCTGTTCCATAAGGATGGGAAATCTACTAAGGGAGTATGTTTTATCTATGGTTATAGATCTGGAGAGTGTTCCTGTTGAAGTTTTTAATCTTACAACTCGTACAAGACCATCTTGCCCTGGGGAGGTTGAAATGATACGTCCCATTTTCCATGAAAGGGGAGGTTGGTTTGGTTCATGCAATAGGACAAGATCTCCAATTTTGATGTTAGGTTGAGGACTTCTCCATTTCCCTCGTTGTTGCAACGTGTAGAGGTATTCCTTTTGCCATCTTTTCCAAAAACTTTGGGTTAATGCTTGAACAAACTTCCACCTTGACAATCTGTTTGTTGAGACATCATTCCAGTCAGCTTCGGGAAGAGATAAAAGAGGTCCTCCAATCAGAAAATGACCTGGAGTTAAACAATTAATTTCGCTGGGGTCAGATGAAAGTGGGGTTAAGGGCCGTGAATTTAGAATTGCTTCGATGCGAGTTGTTAGTGTGATGAACTCTTCAAGAGTAAGAATCTGTTCACCTATGACTCTCTGAAGATGGTGTTTGACACTGCGGACAGTTCTCTCCCAAAGGCCACCTTGGTGCGGAGCTGCGGGAGGTAAGAAATGAAATTTAATGTTGTTTTCCATGGAATACTTACTAAGAGCTTCTTGAGTTTCTTTCTGGACGAAAAAATTCTTAACAATCTTTTGAACTTCATTAGCGGCACCTACATAATTTGTTCCGCAGTCCGAGTAGATGTTGCTACTCAACCCTCGTCGAGAGACAAATCTTGTCAATGCTGCTAGGTAAGCTTCGGAACTGAGATCTGTAACAACCTCTAAATGTACAGCCTTGACAGAAAAACAAATGAAGATACAAATGTATACTTTGATTGGACAGAACTTCCTTAATTTGCAAGGTTTAACTGAGAATGGACCTAAAAAGTCCGTCCCGCAGTTGTTGAACACTCTTGAAGGTAGGACTCGTTGGGGAGGAAGATCTCCCATTTTCTGAGTTGTTGTCTTAGGATTGCATTTGAAGCATCGGATGCACTTGTAAACTCTTCCTCGAATAACACTTCGAGCAGATAGGATCCAAAACTTCTGAGATATAACGGCTTGTAAAAACTGAGGTCCAGCATGCAAGTGTTTCAAATGGTAATGATCAACGATGAGATTGGTGACATGGTTAGTTTTGGGCAAGACAATAGGGTGCTTTGCAGCGTAGGATACTTGAGCGTGCTTAAGGCGGCCTCCAACACGAATCAATCCATTTTCATCTTAGAAGGGGGAGAGAGACTCAAGACGGGAGGAACAAGGTTTTCCAGCTTTCAATCTAGAAATATCTTCAGAAAAAACTGTTTGTTGAATCATTTTACAGATAGTGATTGTTGCTTTATCAAGCTCTTCAAGCTTTAAAACCCCTGATTCTTTAACCTGGTTTTTTAGGTTATTTTTGAAGCGTAGAATGTAAGCGATGACTCGCTGGAGGGTTGACCAAGATGAAAACCTATTGAATAAGTCTGGTTTTTGAGTTGTAACCATTATTGGTAAAGGTTCGGTCTTACGTTCTGGCAATTGTTCGTCTTGGAGAGGAGTGAAGCGAGGAATAGGCCATGATTCCTGATCCAGAGATAACCAATTGGGACCGTTCCACCATAAACTGTTGTCTTTCATAGAAATGGGAAGGGTTCCTCTACTGGCAATGTCAGCTGGATTACAATGAGTTGAGACATGTTTCCATATGTAAGTAGGAGTAAATTCTTGAATTTCTGAGACTCGATTTGCAACATAAACTTTTAAGCGGTAGGGTACAGTTTTTATCCATGACAAGACTACAGATGAATCACACCAAGCATGTAATTCGTTGACAAGATAATCTTGAGAGAGTAGAGAGTTGCAATAGTTCAGGAGTTTGGACAAAAGATGGGCACCACACAATTCTAGTCTAGGGATGGAGATCTTCTTAAGAGGAGCTACTCGAGCTTTGGCAATTAACAGATGTACGTTGATTTCTCCAGAAGAACTTACACATCGCAAGTAGACACAAGCTCCGTAACCTGTTTCAGACCCATCACAAAATCCATGTAAACTGATATGAACAGCATCAGCTACGGAAACATATCGAGGTAAGCTAAGTTCACTTAAGAAAGGAAGTTGTTGGAGGAACTTAGACCATTTTTCAGTTAGATCCGGAGGTACAGGCGCATCCCATGATAAACCTAGCGCCCATAAAACTTGTATCAACGCTTTTACCCAAAGAGTGACTGGAGTCAACCAACCGTTTGGATCAAATATTCTGCTAACTGTTCCAAGTATACCTCGTTTAGTGGGAGGTGTGTCTGGGATATTCAACTGATAAGAGAAAGTGTCTGAGTTAGGTGACCATTTTATACCTAGTACCTTGAAATAAGGTTGATCTGAAGAGTTGAAATATAGAGGAGTTTCTTTGTAAGAGTCGGGTAGAGTTTCCATGATTTGAGGGCAGTTGCTAGTCCATTTCCTCAGTTCGAAACATCCTTTCAAGAGAAGTTGTTCCACCTCATTTCTTAGTACCAAAGCTTGTTCTATGCTGTTGGCACCTAATATTAAATCATCAACATATACTTGTTTCTTTAAAGCCTCAGCTGCCAGAGGGAAGTTTGCGCCTTCATCAGTGATAAGTTGGTGAAGTGTCCTTAGTGCCAAGTAGGGTGAACAGTTGAATCCAAACACAACAGTAGTTAAACGGTAAATTGAAAGGGGATCGTCTTTGTCATCTCTCCAATACAACATTTGATAGTTTCTATC